TACAACAGAGTAAAATAAATAGTACTCACAGCAGGAGGAAAAATCTCTCAAGTTGGTCCAGCTGTTTTCTGTTGGCTAGATCAGGACTGTTCTGTTATTGGGATTCTGGCCTGCCATGTGGATGACTTCATATGGGGAGGCACACAAAGTTTCTCCTCTACAGTGATACCTCAGCTCAAATCTGCATTACACTTGGGATGTGAGGAGCATGGGAACTTCTGCTATGTGAGGATGGACTTTGAGACTGTTAACAAAGGAGTGCAAATACACCAGGACAAATACATTCAGCATTTGCAGCCTATACATATAGATCATTCATGAGCTGTGGAACAAGACTCACCCCTCAGTGAGAAAGAAAAGGATCAGCTCCGATCCAAGATTGGCCAAATTCTTTGGGTTGCAAGATAGAGCAGACCAGATGTAATGTTTGATGCCAGCAACTTGGCGTCAGAACTAAAAAAGGCTACTGTACAGACTATTCATGAAGCAAACAGAATTGTGTGTAAATTAAAGTCCAAGAAGGTAATTTTGAACTTTCAACACCTGGGTAGTGATGATACCCTAAGGTTGGTCGTGTTCAGTGATGCCTCATTTGGAAATCTCTCAGATGGAGGTACTCAGGGAGGACACCTCATTATCCTAATGGGGGAAAAAGGAAAGTTCTCACCACTTGCTTGGCAGTCCAAGAGAGTCAAGAGGATTGTTCGCAGTACTCTAGCAGGTGAAACATTGGCCATGTCAGATGGAATTGACAATGCCATCTTTCTGTCTACACTCTTGTCTGAACTGACTGTTGGTAGTATTGAAAATCCTGCAATAATAACCTGTGTCACAGGCAATCATTCACTGGTAGATGCACTGCAGTCTACAAAGTCAGTCACTGAAAAAAGACTGCGTCTGGAGATAAGCAGCATCAAGGAACTTATTCAGACCCGAAAGGTTGAGCGAGTCCTTTGGTACAGCACAAAAGAACAACTTGCAGACTGCCTCACGAAGAAGGGGGCTTCGGCTCTACAGCTACTTAAGGCACTCAATGATGGGCAATGGGAACTTGGCTAAACATACAAACAGACACATATGGTCATTTTTTTGAGTGGTATGGTGTGATCTTCGTTATCTTTGTTATGATGTATTTGTTTATGTATGTTAAAAAAATAATAAGGGTTCCAGTTGAGTACTAGGAGTAAAATGCTTTGTTATTATTATTATTATTTTTTAAAGAAAGTGAGTTTGTTAACTTACAGTATACAGTTGTTCTGTTCTCTCTCTCTCTCTCTCTCTCTCTCTCTC